TACTAGTGATAAATATGGGATTAAAAACGTTACAACCAGTTTGCCAGCAGAATGAAACTTGGAGGTGATTTTAATGTCCACCTTTTAACTTCTCTCTGTTCCCTCGGGCAATCAAACATGTTTTGCTGCTTTCAGTCTGACATTCCTCATTAATAATTTTTATCTGATTCTCATAGAATTCTTATTTCTTTTACCATTGAATGTTAAGTTTTAGTCTAATAATGATTATACTTTTGATGCTTAATTTTTGTCAAGTATTCTAAAAATATTCGTCAATTGATGTATATTATGATGTATTTCATAACCATAAACTATTCAAATGCTAAATATAATATTTTCCCCTTATTTTGCCCTAAATTTATACAAAATAGTAAAAACAAGTATGAAAAATATGTCTAAAAATCTTGCATCAAATTGTTAATGGTAGAATATGAATGAAGTAATAATTACTTTTAAGTATGAAAAAAAAAAACATTCTTAACCCACCCTTGCTAATCATACTAATCTTATACATATAAAAAGTAGTGAACAATAATCCTCAACCGTATTTGTAGCAATTTTTTTCTTTTAAAATTAAGATGGCCTCACTTGTCTCGAATTAATTAAGTTATATAAATTTTTTTTATTTGACTAGTAATTTTGTGTACATTGAGTTGTGAAACTTGCTGCTACTTTTTTTCCAAACTGAAAACTTAAAATGTGCAATTTTTTTTATATTTGAAAATAGGAGCTGGGAGTTATAGTATTTTTTTCTTTACCATGCAAACGATGCTTTTCGGGGTAAGAACTATGATGCAATGCAGTGTGGTAGAAAAACTTATGAAGCTTTTGAGCCACCGTACCGTTTTTAAATCCTACTGTGAGCTTCCAATCCAAACAACTATCATTTCTTCTTCTCTTTTTTAAGAAAAGTTTTACATTTGGTTCATTAACTCGATGGAAGAATCAAGATTGGACAATCGGAACGTTGCCACGTGACGTAAATGTTTCCACGAACTACTAGTAGCTCGCGATTTACAGTTTGGCGATCATTGTTGTAGAGTATAATGTTTTATTCACTTGTTCTTTTTTAAATTGGACTTATGCCTCCCAATACCATTTTAAGTACAATATGATTATAGTAACACCTTGAGCCGCGATGGCTCAGGGGATAGAGCCGATGGATAGAGCCTTCCGATGAGGCGAACCGGGATCGAATTTCATAGATGGTTGGTCGATGCGAATTCCGCATCCGACTTGCACCGACCACAGTGCTGACGTGAAATATCCTCCGTGGTAGACGGATCATGGATTAGAGTCCCCTTGCCGCTAAGCTAACCGTGGGAGGTTCTCGTGGTCTTCCTTTCCACGAAATGCAAATGCGGGTTAGTTCAATCAAAAAGTCCTCCATAAGGGCAAATTTCTCACAATACTTGATCCAGGAGTTCCCTTGTCTTCTGGATTGGGTTCAAAATTACAAGTCTACGGAGTTGAGCATTAGTAGTCGTAAACCCGAAAATTGGGTCTGCTGTTCAACGACGGTTATAAAGTAAAATAAAATCAACACCTTATTTAATGCAATTCAGATCCGATTAAAGAAAAAAAAAAGCCATCTGAAGAATGCTCATAATATTGCATTGTTATTAATTTATTTTTAAATTATTATTAATTGCTTTATTAGGTTAGATATCTAAGCAAGTGAATGAATACTGCGAAAGGCTATATATTTAAATCCTTCATCACCCATAAAATGACTTCATAAATAATATTTTGAATATTTATTAACATATTTTTATGGAGTAAGCAAATAAATGCAGTTCTGTGTTATTTACATCTCATACTGAAACATTTCGCTTTATCTTAGAGAAATAAAGTCAATTTAAAAAGTCTCCCTAGCTTGTGTTTTGATTACGCAAACGAATGAAATGAAATTAAATAGATTGAAGAGAATTGAATTATAGAATGATTAGAAATGATAAGAGCGAATAGAATTAATTAAATAATATTATTTTCAGGTGAAAGCAAATAAACACTGCTCTATGTTGCGTATATTTTATCTATAAAATATTTGCTCTTGCTCTAGCGAAATAAAACCGATTTAAATTTCCAATAGCATGAGTTTTTGATAAGTAAATCAATTGGGGAGAGAAGCAAAACGCACTCTGTAACAATTATCAAATCAATCTTGATTTTTTGATAATTGAAATTGAGTAGTAATAAAACCAATTAAAGGCTTTTGTGTTAAAATCAGGTAAAATCCATATTTAAAAAAAAAAAAAGTTCGATGCATTTCTGACTTTGAAGATTGTAGACTGCTTATTCGATTAATACAATAACAAATACTTAACCAGTCATTTTCTGTGTGGTTATTAGAGTAGGGAAAAACTACATAAAACTTACTGTAAAATTTTTAGTGATTTTTTAAAACCAAAAAGGAGGGCAACTACTTTGCACTATAACTTTTGTACTGAAACACCATAGATAATTCCTTGGTGTTTGGAATAGTGAAATTTCAGGAATGCTCCTTTTCACTACTTTTGGAGTAAAATAGCTTCTCCCCTTTTTGTTTAGTATCGCTAAAATTTTTAATTACACAATCAGTAAAGTTATTTTTATGGCACAATATAAATTAAGAAATGTTCGTAAATCAAGCATACGTATTGCACAAGGAGAATATTAAGACGAATTCGAATTAGGCTTAACAGAATAGAAGCTGATAGAAACTAAATGTTATTAAATTGCCTAATACGACAGGCAGATATTTAAAAATTAAAATATAATTGTCCTTATTACACAACAAAAAACACAAGTTTTGTAATGGCGAACTTTTTCTGCTGGCTTGCAAAACATCCCATTCATGCCATTTCACACTTGATAGCAAACAATTTTCTGACGATATCCAAAGTACTATAACTAGTGTTTCCAGAAGTGAAAAATAATTCATGAATGGTGTCAATGCGCGTCGTGAGTGTAGGGTAATTAATTGGTGTTAGACGTTTTGGTGTTTAGATTTAATTACATCATTTAAAGTGTATATAAACGCTCGATTTGATGTTAATTTGAAATTAAGTGTTCTTTTATGAAAATTTTTTAGTTGTTCAACACCAAATTCGGAGAGCTATTATCCTATTACACCATTTTTTTGACACTAAATTGACATTTTTATTCTAGATTAGATCTTCCCAACAATTTATGAAACTTCGCATACCGTCAGATGGGGTGACTTCGTGCAACGAGGGGTAACTTTTTGCAAACTGTCATTTTTTCAATTTTTGCGTTGTGCCATGTAAGGGCATTTTTAAAGCTCGGTATCAACTGATTTGAGTTGTCAACATAACGAGCTAATGGTTTACCAAGAACTGTCAATGTAAACATCATCGTTCTTGGAAAATTTTGATCTCAAGTTACAAACATTTTCAAGTTTTTTAACGTCACAAAATCGGAGGCTGGAAAATCTGCTCAGTTGAAGAAGTTCTAGTTATGCTATCCAGGAAGGTAGGTTATACTTTAAAAGTCTTATCAATCGAGATAACAAATCATGCATAATTTTTTGTTTTTAATTATTATAATGTTAGGTTTTTAATAATTAACAGTTTGCACAAAGTCACCCCATCTGACGGTATCTTGTTCTTGTACCAAATACCTCAATTTTTATTCAAAGAAAAGTAACGGAAAGAGAAAAATATGGCAATTAAAAGTAAAGATTTCTTTTAAAAACATAAGTAAATACGTTGTGAACGTGGTAAACATGTTTTTTTTTAAAATTCATTAAGATTTTGAATTATTAAAAATGAAATAAAAGTGATTACTTTCCTAGTTAAAATTTACGCATCACTACTTTTTTATTAGTGTTACTTGCTTATTAATTGCATATGGAGTTAGGGATCGAGCATGATTATGTTTCTAATGTATCAATTAATATTAATTTCTTTTTAAGGTTATAATTTTTTTTGCTTGATTTTTGCGTCTAAGACATACTGTCATAATAAATTTTTTCCGTGGAGAAATTTTATTAATGACTGCTCTAGCAGTTAAATAAATAATTAAGCTAAGAAGCACTTTATCAAATTCAGTTAATTGTACAATTTATGGCGAGAGCTATTTGTCAACATTAATTATTTGTTGCAAAAAAAAAGTAAGACTCTGTTTATTTAAAACCTAAACTAACAACTTTTTTCTTGAGTGTCAGTAGTATACTTTTTTCAATACAGTAAAAAATAATTTAAGAAAAATAATGTTATTAATTGAAATTGTTAGAACTTGAAAAAAAGAAGGGATTTAAATAAAAAAGGAAAATTAAATCAAAATTTAAGTAGACATTAAGATAGAAATTTAGACAGAAATTTAAACATAAATTTAAATGGAAACTTAACCGCTTGACACGGATATGGCATCAGTGTCCCTTTTACATATATATTTTTCTGACATTCTAATTATAAGCAAAAATATATTTTAATTATAAAAAACAGCCTAAAAAATTCTTTTAGATTATCGGGATTATATTTGCATTAAAAATAAAATCAGAAAAAAAAGACTGGAATTTTTTCCATTCACATTCAAAAATTTATCAATAATTGATTTTGTAAATAAAAGAGAATTTCAGTGATGAATAACTGTTTCTCTTGGCTCTAAATAATTGCAAATTTGAAAAAATTATTGTTTGGAAATGTGTTTTGAAGATTTTATCTTTAAAGCAGAAAAAGACGCTAGAGTTTCATGCTGTATTTTATAACCATAAGTAATTATACATTCTTTTCCCCCTATTTTGCCCTTAATTAATACAAAATAATGAAAAAAAGTGTGTTTAATAAAATTTATGTATAAAATGGATAAATAGAAATTTTAAAAGAAATTTAAATTTTCACAGAAATTTGATTGAAAATTTGATAAAAATTTTGTTAAAACGGAATTCAACGTATATTACATGTTTGGCGCTTTTTCCTTTAGCATATTTTCAAATAGAAAATGCCTCCCCCCCCATCATCTCTAATAATAATGGTAATAACAATAATAATGATTACCTTTCACTTTCAGATTCAATTGTTCCGTTTCTAACGCCATTAATATGTTGAAACTCCTTCGTTAAATCTTCAATAGGATCTTTAGTAGGATAAATATCTTGAACAGAAGAATCACTTCTACAGCTTTCACCTAACCTTCGCTCCTGTAAGAAAATGATTAATAATTTAAATAAATACAAATTTTAGTTGTTTTCGATTAGTTAAAAAAGTTAATATTTCATTTCTATTTAAATAAGAATTTTTAATAGGAAGATTAATTATAAAAGCACAAGAAGCAAGCAATACTATAAAGTAAATGCAGATATTAAAAAAAAAATGCTTGGGCATTATTTTATGCTTGATGTTTTTTTTCATTTTATGGCACCGCTACCAAAGAACATTCATAAACTCCATTGAAATAAGCTATAAACTCCGAAAAAAATATTTCTAAAATGCATGACATAAGCATTTCTTTTTCAAAGTTCTTCAAGACTTAGAAATATTCCAAAACTTTGGAATTCATTTCATTTTTCTTCAAATGCATTTTTTTTATAGAAAAGCAAAATCTTCAATGTGAACTCATTTTTGAAATCAGAGGGATATGACGTTTTAGGTGCAGAATATATGCGGAAAAAAATACAGTATTCAGTATTTCGAATTTTGAAATTTTTTTTATTAATAACCTGTTCGTTTGTTTTTAAAAAAAACTTTGTTCTTCAAAACTAATCAATAATATTTCTGAAATTATATGCCTATAAACTTTAAACTATTTAATTTTTTAAAACTAATGAATGACATCTTTTGTTCACAAAAGTTAATTCACGTGAATTTTCGAGAAAAACTAGACAGTTTTTTTCATACATTATTAAAATAATAATTATTTTAACTCTAGTATAGGATAATTAAAAATTTAAAAATTGCAACGACTAACAATTTATTCATCATCTTCGACCGTTGCTGGATAAAGATATTCCCCAAACTTTTTCAAAAATTTCAATCTACTGCTTTTGCCTGCCACTTCACGTCTGATATTTTTCTAATTTAATTTGTTGTTGTTGTTGCTAATTCCCATCTGGTCTGACGGGGTCAGACCAGATCAATGAATCCGTTGACATTCAGAAAATCCGAAACCAGAATGGGAGAGGAATGAATGTCATTCCAGTCCAGCACTAAACAGTTCAAGATGTGCTCAGGTGATGCCTGGTTTTGTTGGCATTTAGGGCAAAGAGGAAAGATTTTTTGATTTGCAGAAAATGTGAGACTTTTTAGGCGTCCACTGGCCAGTCGGGATAAGCAGGTGTTGGTTTGCCTATCACCAGGGAGAGATAGAGAGAGTCCTGGTCTTTCTGCTTTATACCAGTAGTGAATAGGTGGAAGCAGCCACTTTTGTTTGTTCTGGGCCTTTTGCCTTGCAAAAAGTTCAAGGTATGTAAGCTCTGAGGTGGAGGGAACTGGATGGTCTAGTCCCTTCTTTGCAAGAGTGTCAGCCAACTCGTTGCCGTGGATATCGACGTGGGACGGGATCCATTGAAAGTGGACCTCATGCTGTTGGGAAATGAGCTTTACTTTTTGTAGGATCGAAAAACTGGTTTTATCTCCAATGAGGGCCCAATTTTTGAGGTGTTGAATTGAACTACGGCTGTCAGATAGTATCCAAGTATTTCCAAGGTGCCCTTCACTCAAGATTTTCTCTAGTCCCCTGTTGATTGCAATTAGTTCGCTTCGAAAGACGGAGCAAAAATCGGGGTTTCGTTGATGAAGAGTGTAGTTCTCTCGAGGTGTTTAAATAAATACCCCACTGCTAATTTAATTTAACTACCTTTATTGTGGTCATATTCGTTGTCGTTTGATGTTACGAGGATATCAGTCAATTCCAACAATTGGGTACTTGTGACTCAAGAAGGGAAGTGATTGTGCCTAACCATGAGATTTAAATCAGACTTATTTGGATGCTTGTAAGCTGATAGGCTTATAAATCGACAACTAAGAAGATTTATCTACGATGACGTTACTTGCGAGTATCGAATTGTCAGCTCTTTGAGATTCATATGGCCTGTTTGTTACCGTTTTTAATAGTTAAGTTCTCTTAATGGCATCAAGTCTTAACCATATTATTCGCTTTTCCTCTCTCGTAGAGTTCTGGAAGTTCTTTCCCTACTTTTTTCCGCTGTTTTAAGTTCTTGCATAAATCTTTTTTCAAGTCTCTGCTTTATACGTAAGTAACATAGCAGATAACACACATTGATTGATAACTTTCAATGTCAGACAGAATGTCATTTTACTCTTTGTTATCATTTTTTTTCCATTCACATCAACTGAATTTGATTTTTTTGCTGTTTTTAGGCGTTACGGTGCTGTTCCTAAATGAACTTAATTCTGCACTTCAATTTCTACTCCTTTGATTTTGATATTTTTCCTTTAGACATGATTTGTTTTCTAAAAGATCATTTGAAGTTCTACTAAGATGCTGGCTTCTAAAAAATATTAGTCATTTTTTTAGCTTGATAGGTTTGTCTGAGATAACTGCATCATCATCAGAAAAGTTGTTTTTCTATAGATATATTCTTTAAAATTGGATTAGGTATTGGCTAGTGTTACCTTACGCTAGGCTAGTTTGCGGAGGCCCAGCTACGTTTATCCAATTTGTTTCAGAAATTGCTAGTGTCAGGCTGCACAATAAGAAGGTAGAGAAAGCTAACTATAACTAAAAAAATTTGTTACCAAAAGTGTGTTTTGACGTGTCGCATTTCATGAAAAACAAGAATAGTATTTGAACGTGAGTAAAAATAGAGCTGTGAACAGGAAATTGCACATATTCGGAATCGTTTTAGAACTTAAAAATTGAAATAACGATGCAGTAAGGTCATTTTTGCGACATAAATTGTTTTTATACTACAGCAGTTCGAATAATGGGTAAAACGTGAAAGTTAATTCTTCCATGTTTCGTAATTGGACACTTGCAAATCGAGAAGAAATGAAGTTATTGTATCTTGCCATGTGATTTAAATCAAGCTTAATTGGATACTTGCAAGAAACGTCACGCGTGTGTGTTGAAACTGGATGGCTTCTGAATCGACAAATGCCACGATTTACCTAACGTCACTTTTTTTTTGTCGTGTCTATGACATAGCCGAATCAAATGTTTCCATGCGTCTTGATTACTGCTTCTGCGATTTGCTTGATGTTATCGTCATAAAGGTCTATCAATGACGGCAAGACTCCTATTTCTCTCAGATTAGCACTCATTGCTGGACACTCAAGGATGTGGACATGGTGTCAGCTGCGTATCTGGGCAGTTTTCACAATTCCTATATACTTTCCTGCCCTCTCTGCCGATCTTAATGCCTCTGTGGTGGCATCAAGATCGGCAGAGGCTGAGAACCAAAGGTTGGTTCTCAGCCTGGCTATAGTTTTTGTTGTGGATCTATCTGCATTTATATTACAAATCATGAGTTTCGTTGGAATTGATTTTTCCCTTAGTTTAGATTTAGCATTTGCATCTTGGATGGAGACGTTACAGTCATAAAAGTTAAGGTTTCCGGCATCCTTGGCTAATTTATCTGCGCTTTCATTGCCTGCCATGTCAACGTGTGCTGGTATCCGGTTTCTTGGGGTATTCATCAGTTTTTCCTTCGAGGAGAATTTCATTCCCCCTTCCTTACCCGTCGAATATCNAGGTTCTGTTTAAGTCCTGTTACGATTCCATCAACTTGGTCGACTTGGTAGCCAAATCACTAAACTACGATGAAAATGCTATTTTTGCTCCTATTTGGCCAGAATTTTTGGTAATAATTATTAGAAAACGTCAAATAAATATAATTTAAATAAAAAGAAATACCATTTTAAATGTACATGAAAATTCAGGTTATAAAGGGGAGGCATCATTAATATCGTATCTCTATGTATATTCTTTAATATAATTTAAACTATGAATTTTTTTCCCTTGAGCAATCACAAATGAGGAATAAAACATATTTATTTCCATAAAATGAAATTTTACTGTTACTTTTCTCTTCATTGGATTGATTTCTTATAAAAAATATTAAAGCGTGCAGAGTTTATCATTCTTACAGATAAAACTAATACCATTTCATACCTGCACATCGAACGCTAAAACAACAAATAAGTTCAATATTTGCTAAATACAAACAGTCAAACGATGTAGAGCATTAAACGTCAAACTTGCTGTCATTCTAAATTAATTAAATCAGTGGTATAAGAAAATCGCGGAAGATGTAAACAGGAGAACGCTAGATTCTCAGTTCATTGTGAGCTCAAGTAATAAGGATGTTTTGATTTTTCTAATAAATTCTTCCACTACTTACCCTTTTAGGAGAATGTTTTGATTTTGATTTTTTTGTTCCAGTAGTGCTTTGGCAATCTCCACTGTGGAAGTTAGCATATCCGTTTAGGTTTTCTTCGGTTTTTCTTCGCGAAGTATCCAAACGTTTAGGGTTAGAACTTTTACTTATATCTGTAAAAGATGAAATGTAAAAAGATATGCAAAATGGAATTAATATAATTTAAATAAATAAATGATGGTAGTTTTATTTTATTTTATCACCATCATTGAACAGCTGGCCGTATTTTAGAGTTTACGACTACCAATGTTCAGTTTCATTGTCTTGTAATTTTGAACCCAATCCAGAAGACAAGGGACTTCCTGGATCTTGTATTGGGAGAAATTTGTCTTTGTGGAGGACTTTTTGATGGAACTAACTCGTAGTTGCGTTTCATGGAGAGGAAAACCGCTAAGGCCTTTCACGTTTAGCCTGACGGCATGGGGGCTCTAACCCATGATTAGTTTACGCTGAGGATATGCTTCATCTGTACTGTGGTTGGTGCGAGCTGTGTGTGGAATTCGTATCTACCAGCCATCCATGAAATTCGATCCCGTGTCACCTCATTGGGAGACGACAGTGCTTTATCCCCTGAGCCACCACGGCTCAAAAACAGATAGTAATAGTTAAAATATTTGCTTGTTTTAAGATCCTGCCAATTATTTTCAGCAATAAAATCGACAATTTTTTTCATTAAAGCTTCATTTCTTGTTAAGGGTACATAAAATTAATTTTTTTTTAACATTATTGGCAAACGAACTTCGAAATTTGTGATTCTATATTTAAATTTGGGATACTTAAATTTGTGATTCTATATTTAAAACTAAACTAAAAACGTTTTCTTAAAAACTAAAATGTCACAAAATATATTTTAGGTCAATGTACAATTCTTTTTGAAAAAAGTGTTGTTGTAAAAAAATAGATTATATTGTAGATTTTTTATCATAGCTTATTCAGAGTTTTCATAATGAATTAGAATATCGCCATTGCATTTTATAATCAGTTAAGTAATCACTATGACATAGATATTTTTTTTGAAATCATTTCCTACAAACAGGTTTTGACTTAGCGCAAAAAACCCCTCTCTTTCAAAAAAAAAAAAAAAAAAAAAAAAAAAAAAAAAAAAAAAAAAAAACTGACTTAAATATAAACCCTTTGAAGTGGTTAGTTGAAATTAATCATGCAGGAAAAGAAAGTACGTAGATGATTAGTAGTAGTTCTTTATTACTCACCTTTTTTTAAAAAAAATTTCTATTTACAAACTATTATTCAAAAGAATTATAATTAAAAAGCTCTATTCATAAATTTAAGTTTTTTTTCTTTTAATGACAGTGTATGTTTTCTTTTTCGTGTGTGCACGCTGTTTTTGCGTACTTCTGTCTACAACTTAAAGAAAATTTCGTGTATTTCAGATATGTTAGGAAAATCAAAGTAAATTTTGCTTTCATAAAATATTCTAAAATGAAATAGATCTATGTATATATATATATCTTAAACGGCAAAAAAATGCTCTCATTTCGTTTTCGCGTTGGCAACGAAGAATAAAAAGTTTAAAAGAGCGAATAGTTCGTATTAACAAGCAAAGTGCTTCTTATTATGTTTTATAAAGTTCTGAAATTTATAATATTGTTTTTTACTAAGTGGTGAATGCTTAATAGTAATTGTTTTTAAAAAGCATGATTGTTGTTTTTTTCTGCTTCTTTCTATTGAATGTCATTTATTTCAATTAAAATTTTTTTATTTCAATAACTTATCACTGGCTAAAACTTTTAATTTTTTAAAGAGAAATTAGGTTTGAAGATTTTAATAGCTGATTTTAAATAATATTTTATTCTAGAATACAATCTGAATGGGTTGAGTAGTGATGGCTCAGAGGATATAGAGCGCTCGCCTTCCAATGAGGTGAACCGGGTTCGATCCTGGCGATGGCTGGGCGATACGAATTCCGCATCCGGCTTGCACCGACCACAGTGCTGACGTGAAATGTCCTCAGTGGTAGACGGATCGTGGGTTAGAGTCCCCTTGCCGTCAAACTAACCGTGGGAGTTTCTCGTGATCTTCCTCGCCATGTAACGCAAATGCGGGTTAGTTCCAACAAAAAGTCCCTCACGGAGGCAAATTTTTCCCAATACTTGATCCAGGAGTTTCCTTGTCTTCTGGATTGGGTTCAACATTACAAGGTCACGGAGTTGAACATTTGTAGTCGTAAACTCATAAATCGGATCGGCTGTTCAACGACGGTTATAAAATCTGAATGGGTTTAACTTACAGTGAGCAAAGTATGGTTTGTGAAAGCAAACCATATAAGATTGCAAAGCAATCTTTGGGGGTTGGGGAGCGTTAGCGAACAGGGGGGGTGGAGCCCAGTCGTGTTTTAAAAATGCTTATAACATTAAAATGTAAAATTTTGAAACTAAATTCAATCGAACACATTTCTTTAAGAAAATTAATGAAATAAAAAAAAAACTTCAAAATATTATTTATTTACTGAAATAAATAAGGAAACGGTTTTTTATAATTCTTCTTAGGTTAGCATGGATGAAATAGAATCTCCCTTTTGTCTGTAAGAGACCTTTAACAATGACTTAAACACCAACCATTAATTTAAAATCCATATTAGAATGAGATGAGAAAGACATTATGATTACCATTTCCTTTGTCATTCCTCAAGGACCATCCGAAATCCACGCTTTTGTCTTCGAGGGCTGGCTTGTCCCAATTGAAAGTGTTAAGGGCAGTTGGCGAGTTATTCTCGTCGCTGCTGCAATTACTGCAGGGACTCCACAAGTTCGCCCTCTCCTGATCCGGAAACTTCCTGTCTCCCGGATGGAGGTTGTTGGGTCTGGAACCCTTGTAATCCGTCAGAGTGCCTGTCATGCTAGAGTGTCCGTTCATGGCTGAGTCCAGAGTTAAGCCTCTCTCACCATTCATGGCACTTCCATCACAATTATGCTTCTGACTCGCTGGGATATCTCAATTTATGGAGTACGTTTATTATGAATATGGGCTATTTTATAGCCTATTTTTATGACGTTATGTTATCAAATTGTAATGGAACACAAATAAAATTACTAGAGAATTGCCTTGGCGAATTTTTATCAGCACATCGAAATTAAGAATCCTTCTTTTAGTATAGATTCTAGAAATTAGGAATTAAATATTGTTAGATTTTGATCAACAGACTCACAACTAGTAGGTAGCACTAGTAGACTGTAAATAAAAATGATAGTTATAATTCTTATGTTAAGAGTTATGATTAGAAAACACGATCCTAAAAAGTTAAGATCTGACGTAAGCAAACATTAAAGTAAGTATCACAAATCAAGGGTTATCAAAACTTTAAGACTAGATGTGACATTGATCAATATGTTATTATTTTAATCAAAGTTCTAAATAATCAAGAGATTTTGACATCTTTTTCAAAAATGGTTAGATTTTGAATATTCTGGATAAGCGTTTGTGAGAAAAATGCATATTCTTTTCACTGAAATGTGAAAAGTGGATATCATTCTATTTTGTTTCTTGTTTTTAGTAGTTTATTCATTGACCTTGGTGATTCTGGATTATATATCTGAAAGAAAAAATAATGATATAAAAATCTTTCATAATAAGAAAAGATATAAAGACATAAAAAATGTTTGATGAATCAAACCTAAACAGGTTGATGTATGCAGTGAATGAAAAAATGTGATACATGAACCGAAAAGTATAATTAAAGTTTGAACTGTAACGAATCCCGCTTTATTAAAGAAACAGTCTTTTTTTCTGAAGCCTAGCGGCGTTCACAATTGTCTTCATTTTGTAGAAAATCGTATTATGTTATTTAATTTTATTTATTTATTACTTGCGTTTGCAATGAATTCTAAGTCTAAATACAACGTAAATAACTAATAAAGATGTCGTTATATAATAAGAAAAATAGTGAAAAGACAGTACACTGATATTATTTTATTAATGCTAAAATTATAAAGGGTATATAATTTTAACATTAATTGTGAAATAGTAGTGTTAAGTAGAAGTAACAAGTGGTTCGATTAATAATAAATATGTAAACCTAGCATTTGAAAAAAGAACGTTAAAAAACACTTCTTACATTTTCAATAATATATGCCAACTTTAAATTTAAACCTGAATTTTAATTTATAAACTTAATCTTGCTGCTCGAACAACATGCTAATACTGACGTGTGCACAACTTGCAACAAGAACAAACAGTAATAGACAAATGGAAAAAGGCCAAATTAGGACTGCCAAAAAAGCGAGTTTTCCAAAATCTAGCAGCCATATTACCTTTTTTTTTTTTTTTAACAAGACATCACTAAATAACCAAAGCAAATTTTCACTTCAAACTCACCAGAATTACTTAATATTAATATCTTATGAAATACAGCAGATTTGAGCTCAGAAATTATCTAATTTACTTCTTTTATTAAAAACAAAATTATCCGTTTGAAAATATCGCCTAGCAGAATAAGCTGCAGTAAGCAGCTACAAACTTTCTAACCGGAACTAGCGCAGTAAAGAAGCTCGAGATAGTTATTGTTTACATATATACTAAAAACACCATAAATTGTTTTGAAATCGTAAATTAAAATTCGCCTAAATTAGAAAGGTATAGCGTTTTTTGTGCATTAGTGCACGTACGGCAATCTTTAAATGACATGTTTTTGAAAGTTTTTTAATACTAGTTTTAAATACGTTTATTTCTTTTGCGATTTGATAAAAACTTAACAGTATGTATAGAAATAAAATAGTTATCATTTTGTATAAAAATGTTTTCATTTAATTTTCGTGCTTAATTAGTTGAATGATAAAATCAGTCCTTTATAAGGGTTTGAGTTTATCATTTAATTAAATAAAATGTAACTTTTAAGTGATTCAATGAGCAACGTAAGATGTTGAATGTAAAAAAAAGCAGTAAAAAAGAATATGAAATTAGTAACATAAATTTTGTCAAATATAAAGTAATTTGGTTGAAAATTTAAGAAGTTATAGTGCCCAAGCACTGTATTAAAAGTATTGTTCAAAGAACCACTAAACACAATTTAAATTGTTAGAAAGCTCTTATATCACTTTTATTTTACTTTGCTTATTTTACTAATTATTAATCAGGCTTATTTTGCTATCTCGCTGTCGTATATTTGAAGGTGATGTCTTGCAATCAAAACTTCGACCACTGTCTGACTAGCTAGAATGCTTAAATTCCACTTGCACATTTATGACTGATGACACTAAAAGCTCCTATCGTCTCCTGATTCTAGTTATTATCATTTTGATCTAAAAGTGAAATTTATTGTTAATATAATTTCTGTCTAATTTTTCAGTATTTTACGAATTTCAACAGGACTTTTATGCCCACAATACAAATTTCAATTGTCTCCCGACCACTACTAGCAAAACCTATTATTATTTTGTCTCCTCTCAAAATTCTGACTGGTTTTAGCTAGAGGGTTCAAATTTAAACTGCTCTCCTGCGCTTGATAATAAGACAAGGTTTATTTGTCTTCTGATCGCTACTAGCAGAATTTATTAAAAATATTGAAAACAACTTAAAAATATAAATTAACAATTTCGAAAATTATGTTTTTCAAGTGGGCTTAAAAGGAGAAAATAATTTTATTTTTGTGAGACCTAAAATAAAAAACCATTCGAAGTACGTTCGGCGGTCATAGAAGTTTTGTGCCTAAGTTGAACTCCCTATGTTTCTTATTTATAACAAAAATAAAATTATTTATCCTTTTTAGTTTACTTATAAAACGAAGTTTGAAAGTTTTTGGTGTATTTTATTGCAATACTTCATTATTTTAGGTATATATTAGCGTCAATACAAAAAATGTTATATTTTTCTTATTCTTAAAGTTTCTTTTTATACTAAGAAAAAAAAAGTTCCATCAAGTGCTGCACCATGATAGAATTTTTCTATTATGAGATAATCGCTGTTTTGAAAAATTCGCAATGGTTGTGATTGACCAATCAGGAGATAATCTTTGTTTTGAAAAATTCGCGGTGGTTGTGATACCACAGTCATGAGATAATCGCTGTTTCGAAAAAATCTGTGTGGTTGTGATGCCACAGTCATGAGATAATCGCTGTTTTCAAAAATTCGCAATGGCTGTGATACCACAGTCATGAGATAATAGCTGTTTTGAAAAATTCGCAGTGTTTGTGATACCACAGTCATGAGATAATCGCTGTTTTGAAAAATTCGCCGTGGTTGTGATACCACAGTCATGAGATAATCGCTGTTTTCAAAAATTCGCAGTGGTTGTTATAGACCAATCAGGAGATAATCTGTGTTTTGAAAAATTCGCAGTGGTGTTGTGGTAACACAGTCACGAGATAATCTGTGTTTTGAGAAATTCGCAGTGGTTGTGATTGTGTTAGACCGATTATGGCAGTTTTTTGAAAAATACCCAGTGCTTGTGATAGATTGGGCAGTATTAGTTACCGTTAAAGTTATTTCCATAACACAAATTTTGAAAAAAAAATTTTTAAAACAAATTTTGCGTTAAAGTTATTGCCATAGTGATATTATTCAGTGATAATGTTATTACTATGATTTACGGATATTTTTTATTTGTAAATACAGTTTGAGTGATGTTATTTGGCATTCTAAAGTTAAAACATTTAATTAAGAATAATTAAATATGAATAATAATGATGATACATTTAATAATAATAGATTGAAAGCAACCAAGAAATATGAAAAAGAGTGTGTAAAGGAAAAAATAAAAGAGGAATTCATGTTTTTAAATTTAAGAAATTCAGCTCCTTGATTATTTTTACATAAAGGAATTTACTTTTTTAAAAACTTTTTATTTCAATACTTTTAATCTTAGCGTAATCAAGATGAATAAACTTCTTTTTATGTAAACTTGGGAGAAATGTTTGGATCTGATATTCTTACAGTATTTGCAAAGTAAACAACTCATTGATTTTTTTTACTATGATTTTAATTTAAGCTTACAAAAGAACCTTAATTGACGAAAAAATATTGACAAGAAATTCTTTATTCTAAAAAAATATTAATTAAAGAAGAAGGACGGGATATTTAACTTTCTGCAAAAAATAAAGTGATTTTGTATACATAAGAATAAAATTCCTGATTTTTTCAAAAGAAAAATTCACTTTTTTTCGGATATCGGAAAAATCAAAAGATTATTAAATTAATATCAATGTGTCTTTTATGCAATTTAAACGGTTAGTCAACTAATTATTTGTGATAAACAATAAGGTACATTATAGTGGAATAGTATTCAATAATATAGTATATTTAGCATAATAGAATAGTATACGATAGACTATAGACTATAGTGGAATAGTATAATATAATTAGTATAGTGGAATAGTATTCGATAGACAACAGTATTCAGTGGAATGACTCTGTACTTAATGCACCGTATATGGTACAAGATACCAAAATTTTGGTAGCATAGTAGAATTAGTATAATGGAATAGTATACGGTAGAGTATAACGGAATAGAATACATTAAAATATAGTGGAATAGTATTCATTAGTATAGTAGAATTAGTATAAAGGAATAATATATGACAGACTAAAATGGAATAGAAAAGGGAAGACTATAATAAAACAGTATTCAGTAGTATAGTAAATTTAGGATAATAGCATAGTATACTATAGTGGAATATCATACTGTAGTGGAATAGTAGAATTAGTATGGTGAAATAATATTCAATAAACTATAGTATTCAGTGAAATGACTGTGTACTTAATGCACAGTATAGGGCAGGGGTGGCGAACCTTTATACACCAACGTGCCATTTTCTCTAAAAAATTGCGTAATGAGGTCATAGACGTGCCGTCAAATAATTTGACTTCGTGATCATTGGGAAAATAATAATACTAAATACTATCAACTTAAAACTCTTTATTTACATTAAAAAAGAAATACATTTTGCAATATCTCAGTTATACGCGTAATTCAACTTTCAAGTAGACTTCTGTTGTTGCAGATTAGATGACAAATAACTTATATTAGGTTGTAGGATGTTGGTTTAAGCAAGACTGTTAATTTTTTTTGCTAGTTATTTATTGTTAGCTTGTTTTTTATGGTTATTAATTGTTTTTTTTATCATTAATTTTTAATTTTTTATTAATGATTGTTTATTGTTTTGTGTATTTTTTGTGAATTTTAATTTAATTGTTACATATGCTTCATAGTGCAACAAAAATTGTGATCGGTGGAGTGCCCAAAATATTGTGTTGTGTGCCAAAAATGGCACGCGTGCCATTGGTTCGCCATCCCTGGTATAGGGTATAAGATACTGAAATTTTGGTTTAAGGTTGCTATGATTTTTCTAAGAGTGTGCTACAAAATGTTACTATACCATTAGTAACTTATATTTAAAGCGGACAATGCCTTTAACAATTTATTTCAGATTATAAAAAGCAAAAAGGGAAAAAAATAACATTAGAGCATTTAAAAATAAATTTAATTGTTCCTAGATAAAAGTTAACTAAAAAGATAAATTATAATTTATCCTTATTTAATGGTTTTTGTTACGTATGTAAAAAGCGGTAATCTCATTTCTAGTCATAAAAGTAGACTAA